AAACGAAATGATTCATAAGTGAATTTCGTACAATAGTCGAAAATGTGTATAGGGTGAAAGAGGTTGTACTCCTGGAGAGTCAATCTGCCAATCAGGTTGAAGAGCGAGTTGTTGTCGTTAGTAGAAGTCGATCCTTTTAAGGAATCCCGACACAGAGGAGAGAGTTAAGAAAATGACTCCTTGTTAGGACAGTCAGCAACTAGTGTCAACCTGATGAACATTGTACTGTGCACAAATTGGTGATGGAAAACCGCTCTCTATGAGTTAGGATAAGCAATTTTAAATCTGTTGTGAGCTAAAAATAGCAGCCAGCAATATGATCCTACTTGATATCAGCAGCCGAGACAGAGATTGTATACGGCATGGTACATATCACGATCATACAGGGAAAAGACTTTTCTATACTTATACTCCTGAATGCTTCTAACTGTGACCGGGTTAGGTGTTGTTCTGGAGATCTTCGTCAGTATATTTCATTATGCTAGCACTATAAACTAAAATTCAGTTCAGCACTATCACAACGAGGCTACCACGATCATATCACAGCTACCCATATATACACACACATCACGTGCACAAATCTACATACATAGAGAGGTTGTCCTTAAATGACCAAAGCTGTTGATAGGGCGTTAAAAACCCCAGACTCATTCCTCATCGCTTCGCTTACACTCCTCATTCTCTATATCGCCAAATACATATCACTTGTCAGTCATGACACTTCTCGCTCTCTGTATTTTACCCTTCTTTCAGCCTCGTTACCACTTTTTCAGGCTTAGAACTATTTAAGTACCCAACGTCCCTCTCGCCCAGTGCTCGTCTCAGTATTTCCTGCCTTGCCATGGATACCTGCCTGTAACCTGCTTGGCAAGATAAAGTAGTGCTAATGTGTCTGAGTGCTAGAATGCTATGTGGTGCAACAGACAAAAGAAAAGATTTCTGCTAATCTAATAAGTTACGGTATCATTGTGATGTTATAAATAGCTGCTGTGGTAGCGACACACATAAAGGGAGGTAACTACAACACTGAAGCAGTGATTCGCTCTAATTAAGTCATCCCTTCACACAGGCGCGTATGTGTACCAACGGAATTTAAAAGTACAACAGCACGCGCATATGACGTGAACTTGCGTTTTTCGAATTGGGTTACAACAGCTCCTCCCTCCCCTTCTCTTTCTCTCTCTAAAATAACCTATATGATCCACTTAAAGATCATTTCATGATACTTTTTTTTAATCTTCTTGTTACAACAAGATTTTTTATATAACAATATGTCGCTTTCACTCAGTCGGCTTTGCTTTCGGAATCATAAAGAATTTAGCAGATAAATATATGTAATAAATAACTATAATTGTCGGAAATCAAATGAAAAAATCTTCGAATTATTTTAATCAAGTCTTCAACAATACGTCCATTGACTGAGACGACAGATGTACATCGGTGAAAATGTCGTTGAGTTGTCTCCCATCGCCTGAAATTGAACAAATTTCAACTAGAAAATAGAATAAATGTTATACAAATATATGTGTGTATATGTATCAGTCGATGAGATTAACACTCGCTGAACAATTTAAACTTAGACAACAATTTGGAATATTAAAAATTTGACATTTTAGCTATTGTCTACAGAGTATAATATTAACTATATATAGCTGTTTGGAATTTTAAGACCAACTTGAACTTTTTAGACCACTTTCCGGTAATTTTGACTTCAAACAGCGTTCCACATATATTACATTTTCTTCAGACTAATATATATATTTATATATAAAAATCTCAAGTGCCAAAATGGATATAGATAATTGACTGTTTAAGAGTCTGGGTTTATAGCTCAAATATCTAAAATCCTAAACCGTCTAGGATGTGTGCATTTTGCATAGTATATATATATTCTTTTTTTTCTGACTGTAGGAATTCCGAACAGCAGTGATACCTGATATCAATCTCTCCCAGAGTGCTTTGCGGTACCCAAATAACACCCACTGTAAATGGTTCACGCCATTTCACAGATTCATGAAAAAAAATATTTGTATCAAATAACAAAAGATTTCATTCTTTAATGTTTTTTTATTTGTATTATTATTTTGAAAAGAGGTGTTTGTTCCTCTGGGAAATGACTTCATAAATATAAATGGTTATAAACGGCATGGATTTTATTGCGGAAGATTAATTTTGAGTAAACAGTCAGCATCCGTTGTTTTTACAATTTGTACTTCTCATTTTTTCAACCACTGACGTGATCTCGAGATACATATTAATATACGGTAATATCAGTGACAGCTGATGGCTACAATATCGACACAACACCTCCCGAAAGCTCAAATGTTGTTTTTTCATGATTGTTTGCTTTTTTTACGCTCAGCCGTGTCCTTCGTTGGTGTTGTCTGGGATGCCGCCTTAGCCTTGCACGAGGTAAACTGTTGTGGGTCGTTACATAGATGTGTATTGTGACTATAAAGGAACGACAACTCTGGTAGAAGTTTATCAAATATTTTGTACACTATAGTTAGTAACAGCAGTTGACTATGTGTTATATCGTAACGAAACACCTTGCTTCCTGTAGTATCATTATCACCAGCTAACATAACTCTCATGTCCTGTGTTACTCGGCACACTCGTCATCACATTGAATTACATTACCTTCAATGGTGAGGCTCAAGCGAGGAAATTGAGGTGAAATAGCATCCAAATGAACCATGATCCTCTGAAGGGAGTTCTCCAGACAATCTGTCCGGCTCCGGGATGGGATTATTACACAAGCGCAATATAGTTTAACGTGACGTCACTTAAATAACGGAATGACGTCATATATTCGCAGAATGAATTACGACGTAACAGAAGAGGTTATAGATATATGTAGAATATGATGTAAAGTCATAGAAGATCGTGTATAATTATACATATAGATATCTTCTAGATGCCGCATACATTTTAATAATTTTTTTTAATTTGAATACAAACATAATATATAATTAATTTTCTTTAATTATGAATATTTTTAAAAGTACTTTTAAAATTTCGCATGCCTTGGCGAGCAAAACTTTAAACTTCGAGACAAGTTTCATGAGATCTCATTGAAATGAAAACAAATTCAATATATTTTTATCATATAACGCGTGACAGGTTTTCAAGTAAATATATGCAGGATAAATCAAACGGAGGCAGTAATTTTTTTTTCGTAATTCTCAATTCATGACGTAACGTCATTGTCTTGATTATGACATCACAATCGATTTCTGACTGGCGCAACCAAAGAAAGTGTCTTTGGGTACATTACAGTGGTGATGTTTAAAAGAAAATTGCGTTACGAACTCTATGCAAAACCTGCGGATTATGTGATGAATAATGTATATCGATCACCAGATACAATAGGACTTATTAAACTGTTGCTCAGTACAGCCATAAACACTGTGAAAGATCAATTTGATCAGCGGAGAAATTTCTGTTGAACAATGCAAAGGTATTGATTAAATAAAATCTGCACGTCACACGAGACATCTCTTACTGCAGGCCGAGATCCATCTGGCTCTTACACCCGACGTAAGACATTTTGTCGGACAGATGTTTCAGATTCAAACTTAAGTCAATGTAAGTCGATGACCAATCTTCCCCATTATTTGCTGTAGTGAAAACTTTTCAAACATTATAAGAAACTCTAAATATCAATTTGAACCCTGAACTGTTAATTTACGCGTCTCAAATCTGTCTCAGGATGATACCTCAGATTTGATAAGTCACAAAGGTACATTTTAGAGTCGGGTAGATTCTAGAAGCCACTTGGGATATTTTTACTATCTTACCTCCTTCGATTCACTAATGCTAAGAAATGTTAAGTTAATCAATTGATATTTAACAATCAAATTGTGTGGTGAAGTACTTTTAAAATGTAATCACATTTCATTGAAAATCACTTAATATCATATCTAAATTCCAGTTTTCAGGTCCAGTTTTAATTTACCTGTGTACCAGTGATATATGTCGTAATGAAATAAGACATTGTTTAAACCGCTACACGAGACATCTGTCCGTCAAAATATCGAACGTCTGGTGTAGAAGTTAGAGGAGATTCCAGTTTCTGTGACTAGTACGGAGACGCCGATTCACTAATTTCAAGAAGAGTTGATGCTTTTTGAATTACGTCACAGTGACGATCAAAATATCGGCTGGGTACGGCTGCTGGTCAGACGAAATTCGCGTATTTAAACTCCAGAACTTGACAATTAAGAAAGACGTCTATTCAATAATATTTACCTGTACAGACTTCGTCGTACAAAACAGATCGATTTGTGATTTTTGTTTAAACCTCAGATTTGAGAGCCATCTGTTACAACGAGGACACGTCTTAAATCGAATGCCACATATACCTGACTAGCCCGAATTATACAGTCGTTATCGACCGGATAGCCTTTAACATTGTCATGTTACACGAAATAAACTGGTGTAAAATGTGTGAACTGTTGATGTTCCTTTTTCGACCAAATGATAAACTTTTACAGTAAAAGAGACAATTATAACAAAATCTTTGAGAGCATCGAAATTTTAATTGCTCTTGAGCGCAGAAACTTTGGTTTAGGTTTAAAAAGTGGACATTTGTCTTGTGTGAAGTAATATTGACTGTGTATTTTTACCGAGATTTTTATTAGCAGTTGGAAATTTTTGAATTTTGATTAACTTTCATATATCTGAGAACAGGTACAGAATCTTAACACTGAACAAGAGTACAGGATTGTGTACCGTTTTGGAGTACTAGTGACACGGTAGTAAATTCGAGTACGGATGCTTACCTGTAATTTGGAGTACGGATCTGTGATTACCGTTAGACTGTGATGACACGTGTACGATTTCATACTCGTAATTAGGAGACGTGCATCTACGTATTATATTTCAAGAGAAGTACGGGACGTTTCGTGTGAACACAGAAATACGGAATATCATCAAAGACGTGTACGGGAAGTTTAGAATATCTCAGGACGGACGCGGTAATCTCAGTACATAAGACTATGTTGAGGAAAAAGCATCAACGTGACCCACTGGGTAACCTCGAACTAGGAGGGGCTGTACATATGACAAGCTCTGCTTTCCGTGTGAAAAGATTAAGTTATAAGAGAATACTTAAATATGTGGTGTTGATTATTCTTGGAATAGCCATTCATTCAATTTACCGAGAGATATTCCAGGTAAATATATTTGTAGAAAATGATCAATGAATTAAACATATTTTATTATAAATTATTTACAAAAGGATCAGGCACAAGTTATTTCAACTTATAGTTGTCCTTTTCTCAATACATTACAAAACAAAAACATCACAATATCAAGTCATCAATAATTTACATAAATATTGGCTAAATATATTTTTAAAGAGAAGGGGGGAGGAGGGGAGAGAGAGAGAGGTGTGTGTGTGGAGGGGGGGGGTTAGAAGGGATAACGTCATTGGAAGTAAAATTATAACAGAGAGTTTCATGTTTAAAACCTGTTGCTACTTTTTATAAATTAATCATCACTCCCATCCCTAACCCCACCCCATCCCCCAACCCCCAACTCCCATTCCCCGCTCCATCCTGACCAGAGCAAGCATATATTGACCCCGGAATATATCCGTGGTATTACGATCGTGCCTTTAGTTCATAAATATAGAATATAGCATGTTTTATATCATTGAAGATTTAATGAGCCTTTTTACTTTTTCGATCCTTGGCAAGCAAAAATTAAAACTTTGATAAAAATTTCAAGAAATCTTACATGAAATTAAAAAAAAAGATACAGTACTTTTATTACACTCACAATAAAAATATATTTTGTCAGTTTTGAAGTAAAAATGTAACGTAAATGTCTATATCATGACAACACAATAGATCAGCCAATGGAAATTGTCCTTGGGTATATCATACTAGTGACATATACACAATACATGGGCGAATTTACAGGATAACAATATGATTATGTGATTAATTAATTTATCGACTTCAACAAAAGGTTCTATAGTACAGGAGAATGTTAAATTCGGCCTCTCATTTCTGGAATGTTTCAATTACAAATTTAAATTAATTACAATTAAGAACTAAATCTAAACATAAACTACACAAATTTGTTCTTTTTCCAAGTTATATATTAAGATAAACTTTACCCCAATCCCAGAAGCGAACAAGAAATATCGATTTTATGAAACTAACCGTTCTAATCAATGACCTTTCAACCTTCTCGTTCTTGTTTCATTACATCGACGGCATGATACAATGGCGGATTATCGACAGTAACTTGATCGTATTTGTCTGTTAAAGCGTTGATCATTCAAAGCAGATTATACTTTTGACGTACGAATACTACAGATCAATAACTACTCTGTTGGTTATTTATGGTATGTAACTTTAAAATTAAAACCAATATTTTTTTCAGTTTTTTTTTTTTTTTTTTGTCAAAGAATAAGGACAAATGCATATAATTTTCCTTGAAGATATAACTTTTACCAAATTTTTCGATAGTAAATTTTATTTTCAAGATCTTTGTTTTTCGTAATTGTATTCCCTTCTGGAAAATATCCGAAAATAAACCTCAAAAAACCCCGAAAATATAGCCCCTCAAAATAACATTATATACAGTATACCGTATATGCATGTTTCTATGGTGATAACTATTTCCAGATTAAACCTCTTCCTGGTTATTAGCTGGCCTGCTCATTATCAGCCTGTACCTAGTTTTCCTCAATTGATATTTTCTTACGTCAGCTGTAGTCTTAATTGAACAATCCATGCTGATGAAATCGTGAGCATTCTTTTATCTCACGTATTACTGTAAAATCACATATTTTTATGGGGACTCAATTTCGTGGTTATTCAAGAGCATAGTTTTTATTAGCCCACCATCATCAGATGGTGGGGTATTCAAATCGCCATGCGTCCGTGGTCCGTGGTCCGTCCGTCCGTCCGTAAACAATTCTTGTTATCGCTATTTCTGGAAAAGTACTGGAAGGATCTTTCTCAAATTTCATATGCAGTTTCCCCTTGGTCCCTAGTTGTGCATTGTACCTTTTTTGGACTGATTTGAAATCAAGCCATCTTGGATGTCGACAGTAATACAGCACAAACATATTGTCCATTATCCACCTGTAACTGACTGCTATCTAATAATACTTTGGGATCTTTTTCAAATGATATTTGCTAAAAGGTGCTTAATAAAAAAAATATCTTGTGCCATCATTGAGTACATTCAATGAAGACCAGTTCATGAACATTTACAACACCTGTAACAAACAAACAAAAAATAAACAAATCTTCAAGAACTGAAAATAGATCCTCAAATGGTGGGCGCCAAGATCCCTCTGGGATCTCTTGTTAGTACATATACTTACTTGATTTCATGGGTAAAACATTCTCAGGAAATATGCTAGTATTGTAATCCATGTCAGTTTTTATTCGTTTATCGTTTCGTGTACGAATCTAAGGAAAATAAAATCCAACGAAAATGGATGATTTTACAGTAATTTTTTTTAAATATACAAAATACATGCGGTATGAGCATTTTAATTTAATAACGTGTATTACATATATATATTGGTGATTGTTTTGCTGATTGAGTAAAAAAAAATCAACGGAATTTAAAGACAAAAACTGACACTTTTGTCATTTCTCATCAATAAAGTTGGTATAATTAACAAAGCTCACTGGCTAGAGATTTATATAAGAGAGCTATAGAAAAAGGCTTCCGACACAGAGCAATCAAACCATAATTATGGTCTTGATTCAAAACTTGTTTCGAGTCCGTGTGTATCGTTCTTTTGTTCAAATTTTTGCCGAAGTTTTATTGAAATTGAGTCTGGATAACGAATATGTTCACATGTTTTTTTTACTTGTTTAATGACATGCAACTGGACGTGCACGCATCTCTCCAGAGATCGGCGGAAATACGGCCATGATTCCAAACGGTGATGTTTGCGTAGACGGGGTCTATAGATGCCATGGTTTCGACCACATGAAAAAATATCGTTGAGAATTACAAGTTTAGATAAAAGTGTGGTCACTTCAATGGTTCTTAGGTTTTATTGTTATGTAGACTTTGTTGCTTTCAAATGCTGATGTGAGTCTCGTTTTGGTTTCAGGCCCATCATATAGAAGAAATAAAACAAAACGACATTCCTGTAAAGGACAGCATCCATGTTCAAGATCAGAAAGCACAGTCACCACCTGAGAAACAGGCCCCACTGGAACCTCCTAGACACCAAGAGCCCCCTGGTGGTCGAATTCTAGATAACAATGACGACAACCAGGTCAATGAGCACGAACAATTTGTGGAGAAGCAAGCGAAAGAGATAGCTGATAGGCTTTTTAAAGGGGAAAACAACAACAGGGCACAACAAGACGAAATTGTACAAAATGCTATTGAGCAAGATAAAATTTTAAAAGAAACACACGAGCAAATCGTTGATGAAAATCAAGATACGCGAGTGCTTCAGGAGGAACCGAAGGAATTTCCTGTCGAAGAAGATCACGGGCCGTTTGAAAAAATTGTTGATCTGGAGGACGATTTTCTGGAGAATCAGAACAACATTGTGGCGGATAAGGAAATACAAAAAGAGATAGCAAACATAATGGAGGATACTTATGATGAAATCAAGAAGGACCATCCTCCCGAGCAGGCCGCCGCGCACGTGCAGAAAGCAATAGTACCTAATGACATCGGACCTGTAAAGGAGGTTGAGAAAATTAATGAGGCAGCAAAAAAGGTGGAGTCTCTACCCTTGAACTACCGTGAAGTTGTTAAACCCCATGACCATGGTCTGCCTAACCTTGTGACGGCGGCCCTTAAAAAGGACCTTCTGAAAGTAGAACAGCTCATTGTATCTGTACAACGTTTACTACCCAAAGAAAAGATATACATTTATGACATTGATCTCGAGCCAAGACAGCACAAATTGGTACGTGTTTACTCTATAAATGTATAGAAAAAATAAAAATATTTGTTACATTAGCCTAGTACTAAGACCCAATATAATTCCAAATACACGCCTTCAAGGTTTAAATAACTATTTTATTACCAAAAAAAAAGAACTTGAATATAGTTTGCCGATTCGAAAGCGACTGACTTCGACATAATTATTGTCGTGTTCGCATAGTTGTTAATAATCTACTTCATGCTAATTATGAAATAATAGGAGTGGTCTAAATATATACTTTAATTATATGCATGACTGAAATATTTTGATTCAACCTAAAATTACCAGATGCTTCTTATAATAGTTTTAGATATGTTTGTTAAAATCGAGAAGGGCGGAGAAGCTTAACGAGTCTTGCCCTACTTCGTTCATGATACTAACTGCAGGAAGATTTAGTCAAAGTGAAACCAAAAAATGGGCGTTTTAGCATGTATGGCAATGTTATATATCAAGATATTAAAATGCCATGGTTTGTGAACGACAGAAATTTCTAGAAAGCCTCATGCAGTTTTATATTTACTTGTATAAAATATCTAGAAGACTTTTCGATTGTTTAAGTAGAAGTGTATATTGATTTTCTTTGCTTTTTACTTCTACAGCTAGCAGCAATGTGTAACGTACGGATGCGAGACCTGTTTGTGGATGTATTTCCAAAATTTGTAAAGAATATAACCAACTTCCACTGGCGTCCACTGGTCATGCACGTAAGTAGCTACATGTAATGGAACCCATAACATACTTCAAATTCAAATTTCAGTTCAGTTCGTTTTCTCTTTGAACACGCCGCAATAACGCTGTTACCGGTTGTTCTGATCTGTAATGTGTTTTTACATTTACAAAATAATTATCATCACACTGACAATACTATCATCACGTTTGTTCCCGCAGCTCGCCGTTACAGAGTTCGAGCACATCACATGGTTGAATCATAATATGCGCCTTAAAAATACAAAGAAGCTCCTGACACAGGTACCAAAAGCGCATGACACGGACGTACTAGTGATAGGCCAGGCCGCCGGATATACAAGTTTTGCCGTAACACATCCCGACATGTACAAATTCATCAAGACAGACCGGAAGAAGTTAGCAGAAGTGCCCCACATTGAGATATATGCACTGATCATGCACAACACCGAGGAACTCCGAAAACATTTCATGCAAAAGCTACTCTCTTGCACAATGGATCCCGCTTGCCTAGCGCCACCTGGTGCCAAAACAAACTGTGATTTTGACTTTTCTGGGACACTTTACGCAAAGTGTCATCAATATGATGAATCAGCGATAAACATTCTGCTTAAAAACTGGTTTCAATTCGACAAGACAAAATTTGCAACAGGAAATTGCTGCTTTAGTAATTATGATCCAAACGAAAGAATAAGACCACAGATTTGTCATAGACGAATAGATGAAAAGATAGAAGATTTGTAATATGACAGGTAACGTATTGTTGTTGGGTTCCTTGATTTTTCTCAATTTTCGCGGGTAGGAAAATTCTCATGAAATCAACAAATATTAAAATTCGATGTGATCTTTTCAAATAATAAGTTGATTTGTGGTTATACATATTCCTTGATAAAGTGTACCCGCGAAATCTTTGAAAATAAATCAATCGCGAACATTGATGATAATTTTTGTTTTGTAAGAGAAGAAAGTCCTTAGATATATAGACATTCTTACTCTTGCGGAACTCCTGGTCTTATTCTCCATGTACTTTTTCATGAGTCTCCGTGTAAATCTTTCTTTCTTTTGTTCACATTTTGCCCTAGCTTTATTGACTTTGAGTTTGAATTATGATTATGTTGACATGTTGGTTGTTGTTATTGTTGTTGTTGTGTTTTTTTTTTTTTTTTTTTTGTTGGGTTTTTTTTTTTTTTTTTTAGCAAAAGTGCTACATAGACTATGCCTGTATCTCATTGTGTACATACTCCAGTGAACGCAATAAATAGCGCGGTCCATCCATACATTTACAGTGCTATGAGTCAAGGTTACAAACATACGCCACCCGCACACTTACGACAGTCATGGCGCTATGAATCACATTTACATGCAAGAATGTTTATCGATATACTAATAAGGTCATCACAGTTTCTATTGTTATAACGATAAACATCCCATCATAACACTACCACTTATTTTTATTTTCTGCTTTTTTTTTATCTTGATATCATTATTATTATTATTCTTTGCAGTCTTGCGGTCAAGTCTGTTTTCACATCCCAACATTTTCTAATTGAAAGCTATAGTAAAATATGGAATTTATTAGACTGTAAATGCCACAACCGAATTGATAGTTTGGAAATCGTATATTCTCAGGCGGATGTACACGAAACATTGCCACGTCATGTATTACTCTGTCAGTAATGATTTATAATCGAATGGAAATGATTTATGGAAAACTCAAATTCATTTTCATTTACAGAAAATTTTATGTATAGGAGGAGTCGCATTAACATTGACTGATTTATCAACTGTCTCCAAAGCTATGTCATTTATATCACCTGTACATGCCATATGTATCTTTTCAAATGTTATCTTCATTTGTTACATAATCTACCATACAATAACACCTAACTGTTGGTCATTTCATAATTATATTATGTCATATTTGCATACATTATCTGCTCAAAACTTCATGTTTTACGTCGTAAATAAATTGTAAATAAAGTTTACCATGTTTTGTTATCTATTTGTATAAAACATAACATGTCATGGATTACATTTGGTGGCCATTTTGAATCATGATTGTGGAATCATGGTTTCTCTGAATAGCACATGATATTTTATGAGAATTTAATGTTGAGAATTAAAATTAATATTTTTTAATGTCTTTACTGTTGCGATATTCGAAATGTTTTTTTAATCCTTTGATAAATGTTCCTACTAAAGACTGATGTTATATCACATATAGGTCTTTATTGTCAGATGACTGTTAACGCACGGGGGCTCCTTATTTGTAATTTTTATGAAAAGAAAATTCAACCACTTTTTTTTCGCTTCGGAAAATTTCAAATTGACGATCAAATATCTGTGTTTAAGGTAGAACAATGTTAGTTGCAATCCATGTGACCAAATTACACACTGCTCACAAGTAAAAGTTGTAATCGTCCCATATCAATTGTAGTTAACGTTTATCTTGAAGGAAACCGAATACACTGAAAAGAAAGCATTGATAGCGATTTCAGGTAACAGTTTCACGAATTTACAATGTACCATTGCGCGAATACACAGATAAATTTTCTTCTTCCGAAAAAAAAATGAAATTTTCAAAATTTATTTTCATTATTCGGCATTTCATTTTAAAATTTGTAACAATATTTGTTAAGAAGGACTGAGGATTGACTTTGTTAATAATAACTTATTATTAAGAGGTTTACTTGATAGATAAATCTATTTATGATTACAAGTAAATAAAGTTCATTACAATATCACTTCAGGATCTAACAGTTATGGTTGAACGTTTTTGATTCTATATGAATACTGTTTTTTTGCACTATGAGAAACAAAGTCTATTCCAGTGTTTGCTCACTTGAACATTTTTGTCACGTGAATACAATAGCATTATATGTTCCTTTCGCTTTGATGTTGGGCCGCCTTTGTAAATTGCCGTTTGCTTAGTACCAATATCCAGTGTCGTGAACACCTAGTGTAAATGTACATGTAGCCATGATTTGAATTACTTATGGATCCTACGCCCTTCTCCGAAATCTTACAACTATCATCTCCCCCGATTGTCCCCTGTTCCCCACCTAATATGGGTATCTGTCTTTGTAATGTGAACTCATAAGATTTGTAAGATTTACAAGACATCCCTACAGAAACCATTTTGTCTGGAACGTCAAAGAAAATTTGTCAAGTACTAAATGTAGACATTTGGACAGAGTTATCGCCCTTCAATTGCCGATTGCAGTTTTCTGACAAGTGCGATGTATATATAAATTTAACGTATAAGTTGCACTTATTGCTTCTCCATGGAATTCCGTATACAACAAAAAACTCAACATCTGGCTAGCCACAAGGAATATTTTATTGACCAATCCTCTTACTCATGTACTAAAAACGTAAATGACTTTTCGGAGTACCGTACACTGCACATATAAAATGAATTACCATACATTACGGTCAGTCAAAGTCTCGAGGTAAACATATAAAAGATATGTTCACCCCAATGAAAATTAATTTTGATATCCATTCGTCTTTTACCAATCAGATATTTGCATTTGCAATGGAAATATCAATTATCCCAGACTTCATTGCGTTCGTCAGGGACGATAATTCGGGAAGAAATAGTCGTATGAAAAGGTAGGAAACTTGTTGAATAAAACTGTTATTCATCAAAAAGCAAAGTACATCCTCTACACTATTAGACACCACAGTTAAACTATCACGGTATTTCTATACCTTTTTTGACTTTTTTCTTTTAAATACAAAAAAAAAGCAAGACGTTATAATCAGTAGACAGTGAGCAATAGACAGTAAGCAAGACACAGTAATCAGTAGACAGTGAGCAATAGACAGTAAACAAGACACATTAATCAGTAGACAGTGAGCAATAGACAGTAAGCAAGGCAAAGTAATCAGTAGACAGTGAGTAATAGACAGTAAGCAAGACACTGAAATCAGTAGACAGTGAGCAATAGACAGTAAGCAAGACACAGTAATCAGTAGACAGTGAGAAATAGACAGTAAGCAAGACACAGTAATCAGTAGACAGTGAGCAATAGACAGTAAGCAAGACACAGTAATCAGTAGACAGTGAACAATAGACAGTAAACAAGACACATTAATCAGTAGACAGTGAGAAACAGACAGTAAGCAAGACACAGTAATCAGTAGACAGTGAACAATAGACAGTAAACAAGACACATTGATCAGTAGACAGTGAGAAACAGACAGTAAGCAAGACACAGTAATCAGTAGACAGTGAACAATAGACAGTAAACAAGACACAGTAATCAGTAGACAGTGAGCAATAGACAGTAAGCAAGAAGCTATGATTAGTATTCCTTTAGCAATAGGCAGTGAGCGGGTCAGAGTTTAATAATACATATGTATTTTCTGTAAACAAGACGGTAGACAGTGAGAAACAGACAGTAAGCAAGACACAGTAATCAGTTAGACAGTAAACAAGACACATTTTTTTCAGTAGACAAAAATATCAACATGTGCAATAGACAGTAAGCAAGACACAGTAATCAGTAGACAGTGAGTAATAGACAGTAAACAAGACACATTGATCACAGTGAGCAATAGTCAGTAAGAGTTTAATAATACATATGTATTTTCTACGGGTTCATTTTTTCCAAAAATATCACCACATGTGCACTTATATTCGCAGACAGATATTGCTCATTTAGTCAACTTATACTAATTTATATAGTGTATGCATATTTAAAACTCAAGGATTAAGATTTCCCTAGGAATCATTGAAAATAAATCACTTACGAAGATTAATGAACAAAAGAACAAATATTCAATTCAAGGACAGCATATAGGTCAAAGAGTGAACTTTAAAATAGATTTTTTGGAGGTGAAAGCGTTTGTTTGGTAAAGATTTGCGTGTATACCACGACAGTTGTAATATACCAGGACGGAGTGATCAGTTGTGAGTCTCCTTTGAAATTTGGCGGACATATCACCATGATACCCTTTAGAATCGATACACTATTGCCAGCAATTCTTAAGGGTTTTTATGCCTCTTTTACAGAAGTCGTTTTCTTGACCGTTCAGAACGTTCGTTACTGCATGAATGACGTCATGATCTGACCAAAAGTGGGTGCCGGAGATAGTTGTTTGGCCTCAGGGGTGAAATGATGGACCCATGCTTCATTCACAGTCACAAAACTCTACAGAAAGTTAGAAGAATCTGCCTCTAAAAGGTTCAAATTAGCAAGCAACAAAGTCCGCCTTTCCGCTTTTTTCCGCCTAGAAGTGAATGTGTTCTTTCCTGTGATATATCAACTGGCTGTATATCCCTCTGTAACTCGCCAGTACGTCATAACAATAGCATGGACTTTGGCCATTTCCGAGGTTGCAACGGTGACAGGCCTTCCATGACGGGCGTCATCCCCAAGGCTCTGCCTGCCAAGCTTAAATTCCTCCATCCACTTATTCATTGTAACATACGAAGGGGCATCATTTCCTAGTGTTGCTACCATATCAGTATGGATAGTCTTAGGTGCTATACCTTTTTTATGCAGATATTGAATCACTGCTCTCTCAACGATTTTGTCCATTTTGTGAAAGTCATTTGCCTTGTTAATTTTAGTGTACTACCTCTTCGAACATAAACTGACCAAAGGGAATATTAGAGCTGAAAAAAGGGTATACCAGCTTAACTTCATCAATACAAGGCTCACAAATTATCAATCAGCCTTCGTATATATACTTGAATATGAGAGATGGTAATTATGACAAGATACAGTCGTAAT